GGTCGGAGCGTTTTCCGGCCAACTCCGGCGAAATTGACGGCGGGCACCAACTCCAATGCGGTCGTGGCATCCGTGCGACCTCCAAGGACTCCTCAATTGCAAGATTTGATGACGATTTGCAAAACCCCCCATTTTGGATCCAATTTCGATTTTAGGGTTTTTTCGAGTAGAAAAATTCAGATTCGAGAAGTTACAGGCAAAATTAGACAAAATGGTTTGGATATTATTGATCCTTGTCTCAAGACGAAGAGAATGACATTGGTCTCGCCGGAATCGGGAAAAGTTTATTTTCCGACGACTTTGACCGGGGCGGCGGCGGCGGGGCCTGGAAGAAAAGAAAAGAAGAAATGGGGTCAAATTGAAAATTTTAAAATATATAAAATTCGAATTTGGCCCTAATGACCGGAAGTTAACCTAGAAACGGGCTAATGGCTCATTAGTTAAAGGATTGTGTAAGTTCAGGGATTTTTGTGAAAGGATTTGAAGTTCAGGTACCACTTCGAAATTCTAGCTAAAGTTCAGGTACCATTGGTGAAATTTACCCTGTTATTCATATATTTTAATGACGGAAAATATACTCTAACTAAAGCTAAATGCGAATTTTTTTCATTTTATTAATGCTACTCTCATTATTAACCTAAAATAAATTTGCACTACCACCAAAATAAAGAATACTCGTACTCCTTCAATCTTTCTTCTCGTTCCAGCGACCCAGCGCTTCACCCATCAGCGAGACTCCATTGCCTTCTTTCGACCATCGTCTCTTCGCCTTCCGCCACTGCCCGACAAAACTTTACGGCCTGGGGCCACCGGTTCCGATCAGAGGATGAACTCTAGAAGTGTGTCTCCCCACTGGCTTGCCTTCGCGATTCTTAGTCGTCGAGCATCCATAGAGTCCAATAGCGACTGGTTCGCCACTTATTTGAGGTGTCTGGTATGTCCAATCCCCTAATTTTCGGTTAATTCTATTTATTGACTTCCAATTTTTAGGGTTTTATGAAATTGGGGGTAATTTCTAGGTTTGAAAATGGATGGTAAATTAGTGTTGATTGCAATTTCTAGTTTTTTTCGGATTAATTTTAATTATTTGTTCATTAAAATATAGGATTTGAAAACAACGTTTGCCTATTTGGTTTTTTTTTTTGTTTTTTCCCTCCTCAAAAGTAGTTGCTAGAACAATGTTTCTTTAACTCTCTTAAAAGATATGAAGTATATATTTCTGTATTCTAGATTTTATGTTTAACTGTCTTTTATTTTCATGTACTGGCATTGGAGGTGCCTTTGGTGGAAAAGAATGCACTTGCATCTCTTTCATTGTTATTTCCTTGAAGGTTGTACCCATTATAAGTCTAGCAGTGAGTTCTTTTAATTTTCTATGTTACTAAAAGTTTCAAATTATATCATATCAGAGGGCTTAGTTGACCCATTACCATTCTTAACAATATATTCTAGCTATTTATAGAGAGCAGTAATGCATTAGTGTTTGACAAGCTTGCATAGTTATCTCACTATGGGTATGCCATATTGCCATATGAATGTATTATTGAAACATCTTCTGATACAAGAAGCAAACTTTCTTTTTCGTTAAAATAAGAACCTCTAGGGTACAAGGTTTGGCTTGTGGCTGCAATGAAGAATGGTTGTCTTCGAGGTCAAGCTATTGTTTTTGCTGCTAAAGCTGACAAGGGCTACTATATTTCAGGTTTATTTAACTTTATTATGTTAAGTACGAGAGTGGATTTTTTTCTGCTTTACTTTTATTGTGGCAGACTACTTAAGGTTTGTTTTGTCTTGGATTCTAACGACATTAAGTTTTGTTTTATGAAATCTTGTTTAGATTTTAAGCTTATTTAAAAACAGGATTATTCGTTAGGAACTGCATTCTGGGAAACTCATTGGATCTCGTATGTTTATTGCACAATAAAAATTAGAACTGGAACAAAATCTATGCCAGATCTATACCCCCTTTAACATGAAAAAAAAGAGATGGTATCTTCTGTATTGATTTTGTTATTATGGATGACTTCATTCCTTGCCCTCCAGATTCTATAGCAACACAATGGCCAAAAAGCTAGAGTTTGTCTCTCTCCTTGTTTTTTATCTTCATAATAGCCTCTCCTACATTTTTATAATCAGATTCAATAATGTGCACCTTCAGGTTCTAAAAGACTTGCTTGTAAACCTGTATAGCAAAGAAACACTTCCACAAAATGGTGCCGGTGCTCACACAAACTACAGGTAAAGAATGCTTAGGTTATGATGGTTTTTTTGCGTGCACAAACGTGCATTTTCTCTGATATGTCCTGGCACCCCAATCAACAGCCAGGTGCACATTAAACATCTCAAAGGGGAAAAATGAAAGAAAGAAAGAACGATGCAGTGAAATATGCAAAAGAATCATTTGACTACTTTAAGTCCTGGCACCCCAATCAACAGCCAGGTGCTATTTCTTTAAGTCTTGCAATGAAATATGCAAAAGAATCATATAACTACTTTAAGGGTACATGCAGCATCCACAGCCGCAACAGCAACCCCTTCTGTTCTCTCCCACCACAGAATGTTGCTCTTCAAACTGGAGATCATAAAAAGTCCTGATGGATAATACTCATTGCATAATACTCATTGCAGGCAGTAGTTGGTGTAGCATGCCCTGGAACTTAGCATTTGGAGTGTAATTTTTAATTTCATATATGCTGTTGTACTAGGTTGTGATCCTGATCTTATATAGGTGTCAGTAGAGTTGAGATGTTTTAGTCTTTTTATACCAACATATTTGGAGTATATATATTAAGGCATAATTCTTTTTTGGATTTTTCTTCTTGAATTTTGCTCTGGCTCAGCATGCTATTGTATTTATCTTTTCTTATTCTAATAAAATATTACTCCGTATTTAAATATACACTCTCTCTCTCTCTCTTTATATATATATATATATATATATATATATATGACGGTATATTTAATCATAAAAAATATAATTCTCATTACTACTAATTGTATTGATGACGGGAATTTTTGTCATAAAAAGAGTATTTTGATGAAGGTAAAAATACTCTCATTAAAAAATTTTAATGAGAGGACTTGTAACCCGTCATTATTTGTAATTAGCTACGGAGGCTATAATGACGGTCGATGAGAGTAAATTTCCTCTCATTAAAATGTTTCAATGACGGGTTTTTGTGTTTTAACTACGGATTGTACTCACACTACAGAGCATTTTTTTTGTAGTGATAATTATCTGTGTGCATAGACAATTGTTGTTTAGGTTGGTGTACAACTAGCATGACCTTTGAAAAAAAGCCTAAATCTATCTGTCAACCATGCTAAATGTATTCGAAGAAGTGTACTCTAAAGTGTACAACAAAGATATGTACTAACATTTTAATCGTTTACACTTGCACAAAATATTAATGTGATTAAAAAATTTTGCTCTAGCATTTTGTTCTTGTGTGAACTATCAAGACCATAAAAACACAAAATGAGGGTGTACACTTGTTGTGTACAAATTACTACCGAGTTAAGAACTACTCTGAAAGAAACGAGTTTGGGAAAAATTCCTTTATTGTTGGTCAAAGACAAATAATATATTATTGGACAAAAATATAGTTTTAAGAATACATTTATCATATAATAACTTTTAGACAATGTTTTGAGGCGTTATATCAATATTTTTCTACTTTCGAATGATAGAGTGGGAGGTAATAAAATCACGACATAGGTAACTAAGAATTTTATTGTTATGATGGGATTATACCCATGAGGCTTGTAAGATATTGCATCCAGTCTATGAGAGAAACCCATTACCCTAAAATCTTATTCTGCTGTAAATAAGGCGGCAAGCCATGAAGAAAAGGGGGCCTCGATCTATGACCTATGCACTACATCTCTCATATCTAAAGAGCTTAAATTCATGTTCTGTCAATGGCTATCGCGCCAATATGTTGTACAAATATATCCCTCCTTGGTATTGTACCATCTAAAAAAGCTCATAATTTTCTCTTGATTGAGTTAACCCATAAACATTGATCATATTTACGATATTATTTCTCTATATACACCGTAAGACACAAATATAAAAAGGCTCATAATTTTCTCTTGGTTGAGTTTCACCGTAAGATGCTTTTGAAGTTAATTGGACTTTAATACATGTATAGTAGTGTTGGAATGTGTGCTAAATTTGGCATATTCAATTATTCATGCCATGTGAAATTACTAGTCAGAGTTAGCTGCACTTTTTTCTTTGAAAAGTTGGATTTATGCATCATTGTAGAAGCTAAGGTATTTGGTAACGTTTGGTTCGGATCTGTTTATCTATAGCATCAGCCTATTTTAAATAAGCCCGGTTAGAATCATTTCTACTCCCTTGGTATGTTCAGGTTCTTCTTTTGTACTATTCACAAAGTCAAATTTTATCCACCTTGTTCAGTTTGTTTCATTGCCAATTTAGTAAATTAATATAGTCATATCGCTTCTAGTTTTGAAAATATTTTGATATAGTTTTTTTAAATATATAATTTTTATTTTTTTTAATTCTACATCAATTTTAATATAAAATAAATTTAAAATCAATTCAGTCCAACAACGTAACGCGAACGGGAAAGAACATGAAAGAGTAATATTGTCAACTCTTGGCAACCCGTTTAGTTTCTACTTTTTAATGAACTAAGAAATGGTTCATAACAACTGAGTTGTAAGAAACGAGATTCCCCCCCCCCCCC